ATCGTTTTACCTTACTCATCTTGAGCATGGTCTATGGCTGCCGCTTCATCCCTTTATTAGGGACATCTGCATTGCTCTGGGGGTTTCCCCCTCTCAATTTACCCCTCACGCCATTGCGGTTCTGGTGGGCTTTGTCGTTATTTGCTACCGGGTTGGAGTCTTGTCGACCACACGGCTACTAGGATATTTGGTCAGTGTCGAATCGAAGAAAGAGGACCCACACTACTTTTTCCATTACCTTAGAAATATTAAGCTTGTGTCAGATGCTCTAAAGTCCAGTAGGGATTGGAAGGAGCACTTTGTGTGGGTCTTTGGGGCTGAAGGTATTCTTGCTTGCCCTAATTAGCCCGAAGTGGCTAAGGATATGCTGAGGTCGTGTCCTCTTAATGATGAGGAAAGGTGGCAACTAGCAAAGATTTTCTCCTATGCCGGGTCCCGAGAGAGAAACAATCTTTTTTAGACGATATCTCTCCGGTCGGCGGGCGTGTCTATGATTTTATCCTCATCGGTCGACCAAGCAAGGGTAACTTTGCTAGCTCTCCCCCTTGAAAAAAGAATTAAGAGAAATTCGAGGGAGGAATCAATCATGGCTTCTCGGCCTTAGAAAAGGTTGAGATGGGATCTTGATCCCGAAGAGTCGGCCAGCTTGAGGTCGAGGGTGGATGAAGTCGTCACCCTACTTGCTGAGCAGTGGACAAAAAAGGTGTGAAGGCCAAGAAGGATCAAGGATCCAATAGGCCAGAGGTCAACCCGGATGAGATACAATGGTTAGCTGAAGTGCTGCAATCGATCGAGAGGTGGCAGAGGTATGTCCAAGCTTATCGGCTGAATAAGATCAACACCATGGGCAACTCTTCCTCTCCTGTAGCAGAAGGGGTGGTCCCAACTGTCGAAGAGACAGTTGTAGGGGCCCCTATCGAGGGGATAGCCGAGCTGAGTTCTATAACTGTATAGTTCCACAGGCCTAGCAAGGAGCTCTCGGGATGTCTGGGGGTGTTGACGAGCAAACAGTGCCTCGGAGGGGCCACAGTTGGATGAGATAGCAGATGTGCGGAGTAAGTTTTAGCCATTATGCCATGGGCTCGATGAGCTTACTCACCGGTCCTAGGAGAGGGCAAGGACTATGTTCGTGGGAGATTCGTTAACCCTCGACTCACCTAGGGAAGAGGTTCCTGAAGGCGATAGGTTTGTCCCGAAGGAACCCATGGATGTGAAGTCCTCAATCATACAGTCCTTAACTGCCTCGATTGACGTTATGTCCCAGTTTACCCTCCCGCAAGAAAAGAGGCTCTTGAGGG